AATGCATTTAGCGCCACAAAAAATGCCCTCTACCAGCAATCATGGGGAAATGTAGAGAACAACTAACACAAAAAAACAAAAGCGGTGTGCTGAAAACGTCTCGCTAAACCTTTTCGATAAGCCGTCCACGAGCTATTGGTACTACTTATTTGGGAGCGATACAGACATAATGAGAATTTTGCTGTAAATATTCTGGTCTACAGTTAATTCACGAAAGCTTTGAATTCCACTAATAGCGTCTGAGAAACCAATTTGCGTTGCGTGTCCCTTTCACACAAAGCACGAAAAAAAGTATCACAAAGATTTTTATTTTATTTCCTAATCGATAGAATAAACGAGTTTGAATACGACACTATCCTCCCAATTCGTAGTGTCAGCGATTAGATCAAGTCTAACACTATCTTTTGCAAGGACAAAAATAAATCTCGACCGGAAGGACCGATCATTTTTCTCCCTCAAAGGGATTTGGGTCGATAATTTTTGTCATAGAGAAGTGCAAACCCGCGCTTGTCCAAAAGCTCGGTCACCTGATTTATAAAAGCATTGGCCTGAAGTGCAACACTGAACCCGGTGATACGAAGCAATATCGTATCCTAAGCGTATAGAATTACCAATCCGTAAATGAACCCCAGTTATTTGAAGTACTTGACTAATAAAACAATATGGCTGAATGGTAAGTCGATGATGCTTCATGAAATTGCAAATATAACAATGAAAATTCTGTTTGCTTACCGAACGTCTGCAGCTCCTCTTTGATAGTTTGAAGTTCGCAGTATCAATGGTGTGGTGAGCAGAAAACGCTCTCCTGATTGGTTTTATTTGTTAAATCAGTGTTTTAAGCAGAAGAGTTCACATTCATGAAAATCTGCCTTTGAGTGCACAGAGACGAGTGTTAGAATTTGATCAGGCTTTCTCGTTTTGTTTCGTATATATTTCCAACGAATCATTTGGATACGACTTTGCATCTCTTAATTTATACTACCTTACATATTTTGTCATTTTTTTGGGGGGCGGATTCTTCCAGTATGTGATGAAGAATGCAGTGTAAATACCTGCACCTTCGAAACTAAATGTATTCTTTAACTGTGAGGTACCTGTTGTACAGAAAGAAATTATTTACTGACATCAAACGGTTTCCTAAAGGAGTATAGAGACTTTTGCTTTTTTGATCTACAAGTTGTGATCACATTTGTGCTGTTATTTGTGCGATACTTTGTGAAACCATCTCCTATTGTGATCAATGAAGCCAAGATCGCTGGGCGTCACCTAGATTCCACAAGAACTTCTGTTCTATTGAAAAATGACATCCAGAAGAACAAATGGTAATCCATAGGCTGGAATTTAATTTTTTTATTAATTAGAGCTCATCATCCCGTTCGGGATTTGAACTCCGGACGGATCGCATAGAAGGCGTATGCGTTACCACTGTGTCAACCAGCTCATAACATGGTTGAACCAATTTGCCAATTCATGTTTATTCAGGTGTTTTCCTCCGTGATAGTCAGTTTATTTTGCCCGACAGCAACGAAGGGAGACATAGATGACATACTGTTAACTCCAATTGAAAGCCTGCTACCAATTAAGGACTTCCATGCAGGTACGGACTGATCCGCGAACGAAGCTACAAGGCCGAATTGATATTTCGCATTCGACTCACACTAACTTGTGGGTAGTGGTGTGGGATAATGGTGAGTCAACTGCGAAATATCAATTCGGCCTTGTAGCTTCGTTTGCGAATCAGTCCGTGCCTGCATGGAAGTCCTGAATTAGTGAGAAGCTTTCGATTGGAGTTAACGATATGTCATATTTGTCTCCCTTCATTGTTGTCGGGTCAAATAAACTGGCTATCACTGAAGAAAACACCTGAATAAACATAAATTGGCAAATTGGTTCAGCCATTGTACGAGCTGGTTGATACAGTGGTAACGCATAAGCCTTCTATACGATGCGTTCGGAGTTCGAATCCCGAACGGGAGGGTGGATATGCACTACTGAGGAGCTCTAATAACAGCGAAACTCAAGTCTAGTGCTTCCGAGTGAATGGTCGAATCGATCAACTGAGGATTGTGCGTTACAGTGAATTCCGAAGGATAGTCGGCTCAAATCAATAATAAAAACGATTATCCCACACTACTACTCACAAGTAATTATAATGTGAAATGCAAAATTTAATTATCCAGAAGACAGTGCTGATCGAGGGTAATCTCTTATTGGGGACCACGGATGAAAGATCAGTAATTTGGAATACAAAAATCTAATCGGAAACATACGGTTGTAGTTCCTGTTTACAGGAGGGGTAATGGACGTACCAATCGATAGTTATTCTCTGAGATCCAGCAAATTGCTCTCGGTGATCTTGTTGTTTTTTGATCGTTAAAATAAAATACTACTCACAAGTGAGTAGTATTTTGACAATGGCATTGTTTGCCTGGCTACTAAACGTATGCAAAAATAATCTTTCTCGGACAATACAAAAACACCAAAATCTACATACCGAGTTATAATCATTCCACATTACCTCCTGAAACACATTTATTCGAGTCTTCTTTAACCGCATTCTACATGAACTTCGCCATTTTGGGAGTAACTTCGCTGCTCCAGGGTCATCAAAACAGCCTCCGACATCGTGCTTGTACTCAGGTTCGGGCACTTTCAAAAAGACACTTGGTTTCTGTTCCACCGGCATTCCTAACTTCCTCATCATTTTGTTACGCAGTCTGCCAAAAGTTTGTTTCTCCGTCGTGTTCTCGATAGAGAAAGTTTGATTTACTGTGCTGTCAACTTGCGGCTCGTGTTCGCCAATTGTCTTCACTATCATATTTGAGGCTTCTACTGGTTCAGTTGACTGACTTTCCGCCATATAAACAGCAGCACATGTGTCAGACAAACTCTCTGATTCCCGATCTCCATAGGGGTTTGGACGATCAGTCTTTCCGCAGGTAGCTTTATCCGCGGACAACGATTGGAACGAAATCAGGGGTTCTTTCACGAAACACTTGGCCTGTGTTTCGGGGCAATTTTCTTGCCAGCTTTCTTGATCTTTGCGCTCACAATTCCCCTTCTTGACAGCTCTCTGTTTGCAAGTGGTTCGGATGGCCGCCATCTCCGTTAATTCCAAGAGATTTGCGGTATTTCCAGTAGGCTGCCTTTTATGACCTACAGGTTGACTGAACAGATGTAGCTTTCTTCCAGGTGAATTCCCTCGGGCATCCGTCAATTTGAATACATCCATGGTCTTCTCAGCATTCATGATCCATGCCGTCTCCCACAAATCTTAAGGTAAGCTCTCTGTGAAACGATCGAGCAGTAGCTCCGAACGCGCGGCATCGTCCGACTATGGAAACGCTCGATTCAACAGAGAGTGCAGGGCCATAGCATGCGGCGGTGGGCCCAGGCTAACTCCTAGCTGCGCCATCCTGAAGCTCCACAAAGCCTCCTGGCGATCTGCCGGGTATTCAAAACCCGCGATCAGGGCGTCCTTTACAGCAGGACACACCTCAGATCATCTTCGCGCCGCATCCAACACCGCCAGCGCACGGCCCTTGAGAAGTGCCCGGAGGGCCTTCAACTTATTCCGGTTCGCCCATACTCCACCAGCTCCGCGACGTCCTAAAATCTCCTCCGAAACCATACGCGCGTTTCCATCCTCGAAGGTTTCAGGCCACTGAACATTCACCGTGATCCTGTGAACCCACCAGTTGTATTAATTCCTGAAGCCGGTTTATGGTCTAGAAAGGTTGTTTATTTTATATAACGATCAGGGTATTGTCATTCATACAACAAAATATCTCATTTGGAATGAGTCTGCAGAATTCCCACACGTACAAAGGATAGTTAATGACACGGTCCAGTATTCGATGCGCATGCTTTCGCCATATAGAATAGCAGTAATTCGCTCCAACAGATCTTGTTTATTGTTGGCCGTTGAAAGAAACCGCCGATCGTAGCTATCTGAGAACTACTCACAAATGAGTAGTATCTCACAGCACTAGTAGAAGTAGCAGACCAGAGACGCGAAACAATGAGAGTAGACTACTGTTTATATTCAGTTTCAGTTTCAGTTTGTACAACCATTTACCCACGCATGTTCGTTCGCCGGTTTTGGTTGCTGTCTTTTGGCTGCTCATTCGGATGAAGAATAGGAGAAGAAAGGAAAGTTGAAAGTGGATTCGAACAGAAAATGGAGAGGTTTATTGATCTAAGGTTGCAAAGAAATTGAGGAGATGCACGAACGCCACTGGTTGCGACACCCAGCCAGTGTCTCTAACCATTGAGTACGATCATCTCGAGGTCCCCAGCCAGGGAGCCTAACAGGACCTATGTGACCCAGTCTCCTGGTTAGGGGTTTCATACCCTCATGACAGGTCTTATCTTGACTACCTTGGGCTTTTTTCCACTCGGTATCTGCTTCGGCGAACATCGCTCGCCGTGTTAACCTACCTGGTGACATGCGTAACACATTTCCCGACCAACGTAATCTATGGAGGTCTACCACTTCCTCCAGTGGGCGACCGCAGATACCCATAACTCTTCGCCTAAGCTCAGCATTGCTCATCCGGCTGCCCCACCAGATTCGTGCAATGCTGCGTAGACAGCGGTGTTCAAACACCGATAGTCTGTCTTTATCTTATTTTCTTGATGGCCAAGTTTCTGCACCGTATAGTAGGACTGGCCGAACTACTGTAGCATATACTCGACCCTTCACAGACAGCCGCTTGTCGCGACGGCGCCACAGATGTCTCAAGTTGGCAAATGCCAGCCGAGCCTTCTGTATGCGAGGTGACACTTCATCCGTGATGCGTCCACCCGGTGAGATGTAGCTGTCCAAATAACAAAACTTATCCACCTGCTCTATTACTTTCCCAGTTGGAGTGAGGCTGGGTGCTGTTCATATTCGTCTTATGCGAAACAAAATATGATTTCAGGACGCGCAGTTTCGTTCGAGTTGATCAGCCTGTACCATGAGACAGAATAAGATTTCAAAATCAAAGTTCCGATTATTAATTTTTCAAGTGTACGTACTCATGTACCTGGTGAATAAAAGATCATGAAAAAGAGAAACTGACTAAGGTTCGGTTTTTCAACAAAACAACAAACATTATTTTTGAATTTTTACAACGAAAGCTCACCTGTAGTAGAGGTTGTATCGCACGCCATACACGATCCGTTAGCTTTTGTCGACATAGTTCACGAATACCTTTGATTGTGGACATTAGTCGAAATATTTCTCGCCCATGAGCTCTGAACAAGAAGAATGAAACGGAGGACGATTGGTTATGTATTGAGTAATTTTGGGCCTGCTTACTTGCAATAAACATCTGAACCGAATTAGAGAGTTACACGTATCTCCATAAAAGTCACCTTAAGCTATAGGCTTTTACAAATGTGATGGATGACTTAACCTTGAGCAGAAATCTGATTTAGCGAGTATGTGGTTGATCTGGTACTTGAATGCAGCAAAGTACTACTCTATCCAGATACGAGACTCAATGGGTTGACCACAATGGACATAACTGAAACCTGAACGAATCGCAAATGTACACATGCGGAATAGTAACACATGAACAAAAAGTGGGTGGTGGTATTACGCTAAAGTAAGGGGGTGAATTTGATTGGACCACTCAAATTTGAGTGACTCAAGCACAACAACTGTTTTCATCCCCGAATGATTTGTTCTTTAGTGTTTGTTCAAGGGCATTTCATAGCTGCATTCGGTCAATTATGTATACAAGTTTATATCGGCATTACAAATCCATAATTCAAGGCATGAAAATTGATGCTCTAAAAACTGGACCTGAATGGTGATATTCCCTCTTTGACTTCAGAATATGCATATTATGAAACTCTTTTTCGCCTTATATTGTTTGATTTTAACCGTTTGATGTTAAACTTTGATGAATCCCCGTAAACCAACGGAAACATCATCTTTCTTGCTTGATCATCAAGCAAATTTCACAGTTCGGAGAGCTGGTGGGTTTAGATGGGAATCCAATTTAGGGGTTAGACTAAAATGAACAACGGCGATGAATTGGAATAGGAATACAATTTCCATACGATGTATTTGGGAAGAACTTAGGATTTTTCTGGAATCTGAACTCATGACCGGACGCACAACTTACGATTAACTAAACTTCGAGATCGGGTGTGTAAACTTGATCTTCTCACATTTGTTTAGCCATCGAATAATAGATGCATATGAATACATCAGACGGCTTCTTAGCTGAATTGCTCGAAAGCTTACCTTAGAATAAATTGAAGTACACTTGAGTTATTACACTATACTTGTTTTACAGATTTCTAGCACTTTCTAGTGTCAGAAGTCTCGATGGTATTCCAAGCGCAGGGCGGTAGGTACAGTTTTGTGTCTCAAAGGCAACAGTGCCTATATAAAGAGCGTCTATTCAGACTCGTGATCTTTTCTCAATATCACTGCGTGGAAATTTTGAGAAATCTGCCAAAACGTTAAACTCAAATATTAGGACATTTTTATTTTGTTTTTTAGTGTACAGTCATGAGGAAATATTCCATATACACATCATTAGTCGCGTAGTGTAGAAAAATATGAAGCGATAATGCACATAAAGTTCGGGGAGAAGTGGTAACTGATATGGTAATTGTTAGTACACATTCGTCAGGATCTTGAACTGTTTGAGTTAGAGCTACAAATGTTTCAAATCTTCATCCGGTATGAATGATAGAACCATAAATCAATACTTCACTAAAACTATGGGATTTTTATTTCGCTTGCTTCTCATTGCCTGACCACTGAATTGTCAAACACCTGGTTACAGACCAGTTGCTGATACAATTTTCTTCATGCTTCCACTTGATTTCATCCAAATTTATAAATTCTTCTTGTGAGTGACCTGGATGGAACAGTAGTAACCTAGACGTCTCCAATATGAGGGTACGTAGTTCAAATCCATGACAGGACTATGTAAATGCACTGTTGGTGAGCTCTAATCAGAAAGAAACTCAAGTCTATGGGGCTTCTCCGTTCTACGATTGAGTAGATAAAGTGAGGATATTGCGTCCAGGTGAGATCTGAAGGTTAGTCAGTCAAGATCAAAACTCAAAATGATGACAATTTCTAAGACTATGAGGTGTGGAATAACACACACCACGCACCTACGAGTAGTCGTCAATTTCATTCAACCATATCCGTGTTTACTTTATTTTAAGTGAAACATTCCCATGGAAGGATTGGTCAGCTGCTGTGACTTGTCGAATAATGGTTAGTAGTTGAAAAATTGGGTTAATTCTACAAGTTCTCCGTTATTTATGAGGGGTTGTGTCGTGGCAGAATTTTCGGTTGAAAATGTCTTGATTTTCGATTTGTTGATTATTGCGACTGACAACAGGCTAAAGCTTTTTTCATGGTGTCCCCAAGTGCGATAACATCATCCACAAACTCGAGGTTTGCAGTTCACGTACCTGGCCCAAGCTGCATTCCGGGGTCGTTGACGAGTGCTCGTCGCACTATCCAATCAACGTTGTAACTGAATAACAACTCGATACGGGACTCCAGAACATGTAAGCTAATCTGATTCTTCTTCATGATTACGGAAACGTGCTCGGTTCCCTAAGTAGTACTACTATGAATGCCTGATCAGCTTCTCGAGCATTCCGTCGGACCGCAAGGATTCTCTATAGACGGAGTGAAAGACTGTGAAAGTCGATGAAACACGCTGTAGTAGATTGTTGCGACTTATAGCGGTGTTCCAGAATCATTGAAAGAGTGAAGAGTTTTTCAACACAGCCTGTTCCGCGGAGCAAGCACACTTGCTTCGGGTGGGTGTAGGTATCTCGGACGACTGTGAAGCAATTGAGTAGTATTTCCGCAAATAATTGAGCCACAATATCAATGAGACTGATAACCTTACAAGTTTCGTATATTGATCTATCGCCCTTTTCGGAATAAGGACTGAAACTGAAGTTTCCCAATCCTTGGAGAACAATTCTCCTTCTCAAATGCGGTGAAAAAGAGAGTGCAACGGACTGAATAGAGTGAGTAGACAAGTTTTGGGTAGATCTGAAGTAATCCGATCTTCCCCAGGAACCTGCCTGGTTTTTGATGTGCCTGCACTGACAAATTTTCTCCTATTAGGGAATCTTACCTGACGTCGTAGGTCTCGGAACCGCTTGATATCGGTTTACAGACAGGTTGGCGGTTGAGCGGCCCGTCAGTGTTCGACTTTCCAAAGTCCGCTGTGACGGTTCACAATCATCTCCCCGTATTGTTTACGGTCTGTCATGGCGGTGCTTGTAGCTTGACAACGTACAGTGCTGAATTTAGGAGATCCAATCAGCTGCGGCCGTCTTCCCTTTCGGAAAACTGCAGTGTATGCTCTGTGACCCAGTTGGTTTTGTGGCAGAGATTCACTTAACTAATCCAGTGTTGTTTCTCTGACAGATAGTTTCAGTGTGAACTGTGTGTCAACAGTTGCTTCGCCGAGAGAAATTGCGGCTATGTTGGAAGTGGTTTCGTCCAGTAACGCCTTGTGATTTTGCCCAAGGATGAAATATCTTTTTACTGCATTTTTATAAATTTATTTAATAAACAAATATACAAGCAACTGTTAAGAAGGGGGCCGCGGCCAAACAAAGGTTGCCTGGGGAAATACAGAATTGGGAAGACTGGCAGCAGCGGAGCGGTTCGAACACGAGACATCTGGGTCACTATTTTGATCAGCAATCAGGTGAACCTAGAAGCAAGCGTGTATAAGGCTGTGGTGCTGCCATTCGTTTCGCCAGTTTCTGCTCCGCAATAGAAATAGCAGTCTTCCACTGAAGAAACCCACCGAGCATGTATCAAGATGTGATCAATCTAGTGTGCCAATCGCTACTCCGTGAAAACCGGAGTTGTCAATGCATCTGTTTTGGTATAACCGGTAGGTTGCGTCGCTATGTGATACGTCGATTTGTTTTGTGTCACATTCAGTCAATCGGAATCCGGACAGATATGTCTTGCAGTGAATGCATTGTAATGCACTGGCTTCTTATATCTAATAGTGTCCTAATATCTCGACAAGATGCATGAATATTTGACCTGTTCATAGATCGTTTAGGTCCCCAGCTCATTTGTCATTCCAACGAATGAGACAGCGCAGCTCGCGTCATTTCCCGGGAACGCCCCAAATAAAATTGATGTAAAATTGTAAGATAATCCATGAAGAAACTTGGGAATGAGATACTAAGTAACGTCCACAGCATTGCTCAGCTCTTGTTCGAGGGTGCAACCCGGTTCATGCGCCTTTCTGATGGCCGGGAACCCCCAACATGTCCTCTAGTATCGCCGCTGATCATCAGCGACGGATTATTTAGTGAGGTAGCCCAATACAATTCACGGTCTACAACCCAGGTGGTCGTTCTCGTCTACGCGCGCTGGAGCTCTCTCTCGGGAGCACTCAGTTGTGCTATCTGTAGATGGTCTATGAGCTACGGTATGTGTTTGACTCCGTATCGCCAATAGTTACGCAAGCATATATTATATATATTTAACGCCTGCTTGTGGACAAGCATAGTGCCAACGCCACAACAATAATAACGATAACGATAACAGAGGATGGGTGGATTGGGATACAGAACGGAGTGAAAAAAGGTAAACAGTTAAAATGGAAAATAGTAAATAACTGGAATGACAAATGTTTTGTGTATTTGACCGTACACATTCTGATATATTTTGTTTTAGTTTTTTGCCGCACCATAGGATTTCGAAAGGTAGGCCGTACACCATTCGCGACAGTCATTTCTATTCTGGGCCCGCGGTTGATTCAAAACAACTTATCGAATAATGAAGTCGTTTGAGAATGGCTTATTCAAACGGATGCGGACTGAATCGAGGAATTGAGAACAGATTCACACACAATCTATGTGTTATTTTAGTTCTCAAATGAGAATAATGCAACTAGTCGACTACGGCATTTCCACGTCTGAAAACCGTCATGGCAATTACTGCAAGTAAATGATTTTCTACCTGTTACTGTACAACGTTAACTATCGAATCGGTTGTAAAACTGATACAAACTAACAATTGAAAAACATGTTTAATTCCATTCTGGCAGTCGTAGTTCGTTCACCCTCAAGAGTGTGTTCACTTCTAAAATGGCAAACCGTCTGCAACACAACAATATACCATAAGGGATAACAGTAAACGCGTCAACGAAAAATGCTGTTTTGCTTATCCCACTGTCTTTTTTAAATGTCTTTTTATTTCCCTTTTTCTACTTATTGAATATACAAATGTACAATCAACTTTCAGGAAGGGGGCTGTGGCCATATAAAGGCTGCCTGGGGAAAATACAGATATGGCGAAGACGGTCGGCAGTAGAGCGGTTTGAACCCGGGACACCCAGGTCACTAGTTGGTGACCTAACCACTTAGTAACCACCACCCACCATGCTTTTCTGTCTTCAGTTGGATTTAATATCATTCTTATGACTACCTGTGTTCATTTACAAACCATATTGGGTTCACAATTGTTTTGCCTCCATTGTGTTTAACACAATTCCGTGACCACAAACCAATGGATCTGCTTTTAACTGCTACTTTAATACGGTATTCAACTGCGTTAACAGTGATTTCAGCAAAAAGTATGTTCATTTCACATGGAAAGAATTTCATATGGCATCACTGTGAATTGCCGAAGGATTGAGAGTGTATTTTCACGCAAGCACACGTGCACATAAATCCAGGGTGGAGTGGGCTGCTAACCAATGGCAAATATGGCGTTTCATTTCAGGACAAAGATGATAAAAAGCAACTTGTCCTATCATGCAAACCACTGCTGTAGTAAATCGATTTGTAGATAAACTGAACAACGTTTCAGACCTTGAAATGATGCAGTAGAAATGGGGCTAGGCTTCTCCCGGTATACCTCATCATCACTCATTCTGCACACACCAATTCAGACCTAAAATGGCATTTTCTACCAATCGTCTGTTATCTTCACACCAAGAATCGGGAAGAACAGCACAACAAACTGTTGAATGGAGTTTGTGTTTGTACAGGATGAGCTGTCTATAGTCGGTCCCTTACAACAGTGATGTGATGAAACAAATTCATACTAATTAACCGTTATCAAAGGCAATAACTAAATTCACCTGATCAGGCCGGGTGAGCTGTGAATGGTAACATGCATACCTTCCATGGGAGGAACAAACAAACCCTGATTGGTAGGACGATGAATGAGCACTAGGGGTGTGTTCTAAAGAAAGCGTACGTAATCCGTGCTGATGCTTCGGCTTAAGTGATTAGGTGATTAAATGAATTAGGTATCCGGCATGGAAAGAAGTCTCAATGATAGTCAGTCAAAGCCAACCACATATTCACCCATTTGACTAACCTGGTTTCTGACAGCCGATCCTCTGTGAGAATTGCAGCAACTTTGATCAAACGTTCCAGTCCTTCGGCAGTGCATTGACGCATGAAATTATCTAAATCTTCCCCATCTTGGGTGATTGCCTCGATTCGTTGATGCAAGATTTCAGAAACAGCCACTCGGGTCTGAGCACTTTTGGCTTTCTGCTCCAGTACCAGTCGGCATAGGAGATTAACGATCACGGCCGGACTGAGCGCTCGACTGATCGAATGAATTGCGGCTAACGATTCATTGTAGAGAAACTTCGTACTTCGATCTGCGCCAACACGGCGTAGCAAAGCTTGTACTATTCGATCCGCTTGTGAGTCCAACAAATAACCTTGAAGTGTTGAACGTAAATATTGTCCGAACAAATTGATTGCGTTCACACCACACCTGGATACCTGGTAGTAAGTTGTACAGTTACACGTAACCAATGGAATGAAGTTCATTGAGAACGTGTCAGAATTAAATGAGTTTGAATGTCCTGAAGTGCATTCCACGTACAATCGTTTCGTAATTTTGGAATCATTGGGAATGATGAAGGACACTTTCATGTGTAACCTATTTTGGAGCACAACATATAAGAAATTCAAGTATATACATAAACAGGTTAACTGAAGCAACGGGTCCCTGTGAAACACTTGTCGGTTCGTATAGTTAACAGCATTTATACTGAAGTAATTTTTTTCAAATAATAATAAACAAATCTTAGTGAGTCTTTATGGCCGTGTTTACCTGATTCATTTACACTCAGCAGATGGAATAGTTCAAAATGTAGCGGATACCCCCATTTCATCAGGAGTGGTTGACCTAGACCATGATGAGTTAGGACGTAACTAAAGAGAATTTAGCAGTTTTTTATTTACAACAAACATTGATAACATTGATAATAATTAGGATGTAAAGTTTGTGTACACTAATAATCGATTGGTCTGCCTTTGTTCTTTGACTTCGAGTCTCTTCGGCATCGAATCCACCAACTTTGTTAAGAAGTCATTTTCTATTTTGTGCTCCATTATGTATTGCACTTTTGCTTCCCATGTCCAATGTATGGGTAGCATGTTAACCTCTCTCTTCAAAACGGAAAGCAGGATTTCAATCACGTTGATATCACGGCTATTAGAAGGAAGTTGCATAAACTGCACCATAGAGTCACGCATTTTTTCTGAAGTCTAAACGCAAATAATAAGTGAACCAGAATGCTTAACTAAATAAATGTACCAACCGCTGGTGAAACATGACACTGAGCGTTATCCTGAAAAACGATAACTTTTCCAGACGATTATTTTCATGAAATTCTGGAAACATTTTCGTCATTACTCATGCAAATTTCCCATTTATGGTGCCTTTGACAAGGCTGACCACTTTTTATCCCTGCCCAGATGTGTAATCTCGACGGGTGAGAAACTCTTCCATTTGGAGGAATAAGTTCTTTTCGGAAACTCTCACCACAAACGAAATTTTTGTGAGCCTTCCAAGGCTCGTCGCACGCCATGCACTAGTCGGTGAAATAAACCGACCACCAAAATGACAAGATATAAATTATTGTCCATACCTAAAGCAATAATATACAGGTATTGACCAAACTAGTGCAACATCCTGATTTTCATTACATTTGTTCCTCTCAATGCTTCATTTTTCTGGGCTCATTCACGGGACTGAATATGATATTGTCCTACATCAGACACAACATATCTGACATAATACGTGTTTCTGTCTTTGTTTCTATTTGCCAAATACCATTAAAATGTACAATTTCGCGATTTTGACGAAGGTTGCTGGTGCATCAGTTGTGAAATAACAAAGTCACCGTAGAAAATGTAACTAAAGTTGATTGAGTAAAATGACTCTGACTTTGCATAGGTATTGTACTTTCATCACCTTCATTTTTGATCACTGGAGGCAGTCACTTTATCATGGATTCCACCAAAATGACTGCCTAACAGAATTTTCCAGGTTCCTCTAATACACCACACGCCCTAACCACTGTCGAGACAGGTGACTTATCCCGGTTTCTGATGCAGTGAATACTTTTTGATAAAATTAAAATTCCAGCTGTTGCGCGGTATTTGAATGAATTTGACATTAGACTCAACCCCTCCAGAGACTGCATAAATGTAAAATAATAATAGTTAATAAGGTCTAAACGATTTTACTACCAACCCCAAGCAAGAAGATATACCAACCTTCATCTATGAAAAATATCACTTCCGCGAATGTATTTACAGAGTAGCAGTTAATGAAGAATTCCCTTATCAGTGAAAACATTTCGCTTGTTGCGTACAGAAGATCAATATCAAGGCACTCAGTATTTACTTCCATCCTAACTCGTCAGGTAGGATGAATATTTACTTCTTTTTACTGGTAAAACGAAATTCATTAGAAAACTAGTTCAGTAGATCAGCTTCCACCAGATACTGAAATACTCGTTGGCCACCAGTGAGATAAACCCATTGAAAAATGGACGAGCGACGCGATTTAAATTTGTTGCTAAAAGCAATACATGCTCCGCTTTGTTGTGCGTTCTACAACGGCTTCATATCACGTGGTCTCGGGTGCACGTTAAGTCGAGCCATCATTCTCCAAACGAAGAAATGAGGAAAAACGGCTAATCATCCGGGACTATCCTTCGCATTGGTTATGTGCAACTCTTCTCCGCTGCGAATGAATACAACCATCATCTTGCTTTGATATGATCGGTTTTTCGTTCTCGGTTAATGTCCTGATGGAGAAATTTCGTTATATGTTATAAATTGATTATATGTTCACACGGAAGCACTTCCACAAGACACCAACTGAATCATCGAATATATGTGCCTCTCGATTAAGTTGCCTCTAGGCTTCTATTATATGCCCAAAACGTTAGAATGTTTCATCCGGTTTGGGTATGGTGGTACAAAAAAACGCTCATTCAACGAGCCGCACACTTCAAGGTCCATTTTTGAAGATCAACTTGTGTTTCGTGGACTATGTTTTTGGTTCTTTCAGTATTGCGTGAGTAGTTTGTAGCCAAGTAATTTATCAATTTATTTAATTTTGAATACTTTCATTAATTTGCTTTTTTACTGTGTGTTGAATGCAAAGATATAAGCAATTTAGAATACCTGGGCTCAGCTTAATAAACAATGTCATGGAACAGGAATCACTTATCAAAAACAATGAATTCCCATGCTGCTTTGCGTAAAATATTTTCCAAACCTGAACTGTAACGTTGGAACGTATAGCAACACTCAAGGTCACGCTAATTCAAACGGTGATAGAAGAGAACTAAGAACATAGACGTGGGAGATAAAATCAGGAAATCAGGAATAAATACACCTTACCCATAGGCATCAATATACAAGTATGAATGCTATTGGAGACTGAAATATATTTCAAAAATCAGAGTGATATTGTACGAGTTTGATCAATATCTGTAGATGGTAATTCCATTTGATCATAAGGAAAATATTTTAGTGCATCACAATCGGCCAGTTCTGTGTGTGTACGTTTTACCTGAGTTACCAATCTTGTCTGCTCTCCACTTGTACACCATTGGATCGATTTAGAACGCGATTTTACCATGAAAGTGGAAATATTTCACATTTTCAACCCGTAAATTTATTTGCAGACATGGGATTTAAAGTGTATCGTGTTGATGTACTCTGACAGCGATTTGTTTAGTTTCGTCCAACTAGACCACCAAAAAACATTTCGAATAAAACACAATGTAGGGATCAAGACATTTTTTGTGATCCGTCTTCGACGACTGATACAGTACAATTTATGTAACTAATATAAAAAAACGGGATGGCAGAGATATTAACTACAAAAATAATAATAAATTAATAAACATGAATGAATATCGATCATGTCTACCGTTTCCGGTATGGTGTCTGGTCCAGATTCGACGAAGATTGAAACACGCGAGTAAAAGTGGAGTGAATGGGGTGTCATGAGAGAAATGTTGACTTAAAAAGGATAAGTTCCAGTAAAAAACGGAATGACAAAACCGAACAAATTGTAAAGAAGTTGTTCCAAAATTTGCAACACTTTAAACAAAGCGGTGTGATAGATGGGACTACGTTTGAGCGTATCCGACCAACTAGAGCGAGGGTTCCGAGAGGACTACCGAAAATACATAAAACGTTATTCCACTCAGACTAATATCAGACATATGTAACTTACCTTACCACGCTATAGCTTATAGTAAACTGGAACCGATAAAGAATGAACAAGCGAAAAATACGCTACGGGACCATTTTGATTTGGTGGATTCTATTCAGGACATGAATGTAACCGGACTAGGAATACTGTCCCTCGATGTAACTTCGCTATCCATTAATGTTACTATCAGATGAAAGATCGAGTTCTTATCTAGATGAGTGGTATCGATATACGTATCCCGAAAGAGAACTTAAAATAGTTACTTGCACATAACATGTAATTCAAGTTTAACGATGCTATTTATCTTCAAAAGGACTGCATGGTAATGGGCTCCTCTCTAGCCCCGTTGTTTGCGGATCTCTTCAGGGCAGTGCAAGAAAACAGTGCCCTCACAGCTTCCAGTAGAAAATGCAAGCTACACAAAAGATATATCGATGACATATCGTGCTGCATGGATGAGGATAGTAATCCCAATGGGCTACTGGCAACATTCAAATGCGCGCAGCCGAATATTAAGCTTACTCTAGAGAACACTGATAACGAGATCGCATTTCTTGACTTTTGCTTCAGGCGCCGTAGACTAAGGGTTAGTCAACACTCTCCAAATAAAAAGCATGCGGTAGGGACATTACATGCATTTTCAAAGGCTCCGTAACACTCAAAAGAAAGCAAAACTTGATGCAATATCTTTCGAACCGAGCGCAAAAAATCTGCTCGGTTGATACAGTTCAGAGCGAATTAAATTTCCTGTGCCAGGTCTTTCAACAAAATGGATACCCGGATAACTTTTGGGACAGCGTATTAGAACGCCAGCCAAACGAGGAGAATTGGATTAAGAAGAATCCAATAAGACTGCTATTTAGAGCTGACACAATGATGAAGACGGTTACTCGAATAGTGATAACTGAAATCAGTCAAACGTTCCATGAAATGAAACAGCGTGTCGAATTCGCATCCAGACCAGTCATCGAGCTGCAAAGATAAAGCTGCCCTTTTCTGCGATATATTTTTGCGTTCACTCTTTCACTTGATCCTAGGGAACAACCTTTATTGGTCGCACAAGCAGTCGATTGACTCAGAGGATTTAAGAGCATCATCTGACGTACTTGCACACTGGGGTGACAATGTCGACTACGATCGCATTCCGTTCACACCTTGTCGAGTCAGGTCACTTAGTTGACTTGACCAGGACGTTTTTCCTCTCTACCAGGTGTGTGAACAACAATCCAAGTGGATTCAACATCGCATCTTGGTCATAGTGGAATTAGTGAGAATTCGTATTCGCGATCAACCTTTATGTGCGTAAGACAATTTGTGAAGACGTTTCCTCCCATGGTACTCCATTCACATCACTTTACTCGCCTACCCCACTCTTCGTCAAATCCGGATCAGACACTATACCGGAAACGGTAGACATTATCGATGTTGATTCAAGCTTAATAACTTATTATTGTGTAGTAGTTACTACTTCGCCCTCTCTTTTTTATCCTAGTTATATAAATTTTAATGTATTAGCCACAGAAGACCAATCACTTGAAGCTAGTCTTGCTCACTGCTGTGTTTAACTTCGTCAATTGATTCAAATGTGAAAGGGCTGAGTTGGTCATTTATGTTTTCACAAATATAAATAACACTTGGAAGCATAAATCGAGTCAGTTCGACCAACAATTGTTCTAAATGAGTTACTAGCTAATGACTAGTGAAGTATTTGAATAAAAATGTTCGAAATTCGTTCGACTGAATGTCTCTTTCATCAAACGGAGTCAAATCGAAGTTTTTCTGATTTTCTAATCCGGCAGATTATCATCTAACAAGCCGTCTCTTCTCTAAACGAATTTATCCTTTTCTGGTATTTCCATATTGCTTTTTTCAAACTCAGTTTTTACTATTTAATCAAGTTTATGTGAAGATTTGAATGCAATAAACTCATTTTATGCAAATACCAACGTCACTTAGCGCTGACGTCTGTTCTCCTGAGATTGGTGAATAAAGAAAAAAACAAGAAACAGTTTTT